ATAAAAACAAGAAGTTCAAAAAGGCGAAAAATTGACATTTTTTTAAAGGGGTTAACCCATGGTTTTGGTCCAAAAATAGCCATTTTTCCAACTTTTTTTTTTAGGCAATATAGGCCAGGAAAATGTCATTTACGATATTCTAGAACGAAAAAACGCCTTTCTAGGCTATAAAAACAAGAAGTTCAAAAAGGCGAAAAATTGACATTTTTCCAAAGGGGTTAACCCATGGTTTTGGTCCAAAAATGGCCATTTTTCCAACTTTTTTTTTAGGCAATATAAGCCAGGAAAATGTCTTTTGCGATATTCTAGAACGAAAGAACGCCTTTCTAGGCTATAAAAACAAGAAGTTCAAAAAGTCGAAAAATTGACATTTTTCCGAAGGGGTTAACCCATGGTTTTCGTCCAAAAATGGCCTTTTTTCAACTTTTTTTTTAGAAAATATAGGCCAGGAAAATGTCTTTTACGACTTCTAGAATGAAAAAACCCCTTTCTAGGCTATGAAAAAAAGAAGTTCAAAAAGTCCAAAAATTGACATTTTTCCAAAGGGGTTAAACCATGGTTTTGGTCTAAAAAATAGTCCTTTTTGTAACTTTTTTTTTAGGCAATATAGGCAAGGAAAATGTCTTTTACGATATTCTAGAACGAAAAAACGGTTTTCTAGGCTAAAAAAACAAGAAGTTCAAAAAGTCGAAAAATTGACATTTTTCCAAAGGGGTTAACCGATGGTTTTGGTGAAAAAATGGCCATGTTTCCAACTTTTTTTCTAGGCAATATAGAGTAGGTAAATGCCTTTTACCATATTCTAGAACGAAAAAACGCCTTTCTACGCTATAAAAACAAGAAGTTCAAAAAGTCGAAAAATTGACATTTTTCCAAAGGGGTTAACCCATGGTTTTTGTCTAAAGATGGCCATTTATCCAGCTTTTTTTTTTTAGGGAATATGGGCCAGGAAAATGTCTTTTACGATATTCTTGAACGAAAAAACGCCTTTCTAGGCTATAAAAACAAGAAGTTCAAAAGGTCGAAAAATTGACATTTTTCGAAAGGGTCCAAAATGGGCATTTTTTAAACTTTTTTTTTAAGCATTATAGGCCAAGAAAAAGTCGGTTAACCCATGGTTTTGGTCCCAAAATGGCCATTTGTCCAACTTTTTTTTTAGGCAATATAGGCCAAGAAAATGTCTTTTACGATATTCTAGAACGAAAAAACGCCTTTCTAGGTTATAAAAACAAGAAGATCAAAAAGTCGAAAAACTGACATTTTTCCAAAGGGTTTGGTCCAAAAATGGCCATTTTTCCAACTTTTTTTTTAGGCAATACAGGCCAGGAAAATGTCTTTTACGATATTCTAGAATGAAAAAAACCCGTTCTAGGCTATAAAAACAAGAAGCTCAAAAAGTCGAAAAATTAACATTTTTCCAAAGGGGTTAACCCATGGTATCGGTCCAAAAATGGCCATTTTTCCAACTTGTTTTTGGGCAATATTGGCCAGAAAAATGTCTTTTACGATATTCTAGAACGAGAAAACCCCTTTCTAGGCTATAAAAACAAGAAGTTCAAAAAGTCGAAAAATTGACATTTTTCCAAAGGGGTTAACCCATGGTTTTGGTCCTAAAATGGCTATTTTTGCAACTTTTTTTTTTAAGGCAATAACGGTCAGGAAAATGTCTTTTACAATATTCTAGAACGAATTAGTAGTATTAGCATTTTGGCGAAACCGCAGTTTAACCACGGGATCACATACCTGTCAACACCATGCAGGAATGACACAATCACATAGTTTCGGGGCACTGATAAGACTATCCACAACCACGCATAATCTTCTCATGTTTAACATTAGCGAAATATGATCGAATAACTCGGAAACACTTAGCGTGTCGGCAGATAAACACCTCTGGACCAGGCTGTGGACTTTTTTCTTACACTTGTCTTATTCAAGTTCCTGGATGTAGAGTCACACGGTCGGCGGAATACCTTAGCCTTGTTTTCACACCAGACCCCGGTTAAAGTTGATATGCAATTTTGCTCTCACCTAATTCATTTAACTTCTAAGAGCCTGTTCCCGAGGCCAAAGACTTAGTGGTCACCTTAGAAAAGCGAACAATATTGTGCCTTTCTGTCTTAGCCCGGATCAGGGTTATTGATCTGTTTAGCCAAATGAAACGAGAATATAATACGATATTGGACGATGCACACTCTGCGAATCGTGATAACTTTGTCCCATTTCAGAGCTTTACATGATGCTCTCCGGAAAACTTTTCTCAAGATGACCAATACTCGCAAAAGTAAACTGCTAAACGGCACCGAAACCAGCTTTAGGCGCGCACTGATTTCAAATAACTGTCACTTGTGTTGAATAGAGAATTGTGGGCAGGAAAGAAACAAAATAGGGAGGGAAGGTGGGAAGGGAGGGCGGAGGGTAAGATAGTAATTTTGTCTACATCCACTTCTACCCAAAATCCCTGACCACAAAACAAGCCAAAAAAAACCGACATAAGCAAACAACACAGTAAACAACAAACAACACAGAGGAAATTGAGAAAAATTACAAAATGTTTGCTATCCTGGTTTTTATAACTCCAGGTAGAAATTAAACAAGACAAATAAATGAAAAAATAAGAATTTAAAATATTAAAAATATAAATATCAGTTGTGACATCTCTGGAGTGGGCAGTTATGTGGTTCGCTTGAATTTCACTTCCAAGTTTTGGTTGGGAAGAAAAGACTGTATAGTCTGTCGTTTCAATTTGCGAATAGAGAATAGACACTAGAGATGCTACGCTGATATATTATTTGGCCGGGAGATAAAACAACGATGTCTCACTGTCGAGGCTGAGCTTCCTTGCGCGCATGCATGCAACATACCGCACGTGCTTTCTAAAACCAAGAAGAAAATTTGATGGCACGTACGTTTGCTACTCCGACTGAACAAGATCTCGAACTTGTTTTTTTGGTTAAGAGGTAAGGAAAATGTCATAAGTTCAGTTACATATTGTAAAAAAAACATTCGAATATTTCAATGTTTGTACGGAAAAAGTTATCAGTTAACGAAGAGGAGAAAGATGAGGGTCGGCATTATATTCTACCCACCAAAACCACATCGATCGAGAGGGACTGAGATTGAATTTTGAATAACTTAAAAGTCGTAACCGAAGATTCTCGGAAAATGTACGGATGATATGCACGAACAACCGAACNTGCGAATAGAGAATAGACACTAGAGATGCTACGCTGATATATTATTTGGCCGGGAGATAAAACAACGATGTCTCACTGTCGAGGCTGAGCTTCCTTGCGCGCATGCATGCAACATACCGCACGTGCTTTCTAAAACCAAGAAGAAAATTTGATGGCACGTACGTTTGCTACTCCGACTGAACAAGATCTCGAACTTGTTTTTTTGGTTAAGAGGTAAGGAAAATGTCATAAGTTCAGTTACATATTGTAAAAAAAACATTCGAATATTTCAATGTTTGTACGGAAAAAGTTATCAGTTAACGAAGAGGAGAAAGATGAGGGTCGGCATTATATTCTACCCACCAAAACCACATCGATCGAGAGGGACTGAGATTGAATTTTGAATAACTTAAAAGTCGTAACCGAAGATTCTCGGAAAATGTACGGATGATATGCACGAACAACCGAACATCCGAATACTAGATCGGACGTTCGATTAAACCACTGAACCACCAGGGCTCTAGCGTTAGTGAAGTCGGAATTCTACTATACCAGTAGCCTGCGTGGCAGGCGTTCGAAAGGGAAGGGGAAGGGAATTAGCCTGCCACGCAGGCTACTACACCAACAGAGTGTACTACACTTCTTTACTGGGAGCTAAAAGAAACAGAAAGGCTGCGTTCATTTCACAGTCGTGGGGGTGCAGAAAGTAGCAAGGCTCGCGCAGGTGTTCAGCAAGCTGGCCGTAAGAGACCGGATTTTTTCCACAATTGGAGATGAACATGTAAATTATTGAAGTAAATCATTCTATAATTCTATAACTGTACATGTTGTGCGTGATGTATTAGTCCTGCAGATTGACTAGTTAGTTTGAATGTAAAACATTGACAATACTCACACTGAAATGTACTAGTCATGGATATATGTATTGTCCGCATTAATTTGGAAAAATTAGCATAACGTCAAAACAGTGAATGTTGTTACGCAGATTTTTGACGGGTTCGTAGGATAGGTTTGTCTTGAAATTTCAAGGTGTTGCAGTGAATCAATCTTAATGAAAGTTTCAGACATTTTTATATACATTATGAAGATCATGTGAAGAGATTTTAAAACAATTTGTTCGAGTTGTTTCGGAGATATACAAGAAAGGGCTAAAAGTCCAAATTCTGCACGAAGTTGCACTTATACAGGTGGTGAGAAAACGGGTTAGTTTTCAAGATCGCAAGAACGAAAGTACACCAAAATTTCCTAGTATCAAAATATGATATTAAGCAGCATTTTGACGCTACTTAAGAGTCATTAATAACGTGTTTATTAAATAATCTATCACGGCTGTTGAAAATTTAAGGTTTGAAATATATTTTCGTTTTAGTCGAATTCAAACATACAGAATTTTTTACTTCTTACGGAGATTGTTTGCTAAACACGAAACTTTAAGTTCCTAGTGTTGAATTTTCAGTAGCAGGTCTAGATCACACAAAATTCGGCTTTTATCAATTTCAAAGTTTTTTGTTTATTGTTGTCATAGTAATATCGATTTTATTTGAAACTACATTTTCCCAAATTTGAATCCATAGCCAATTACTGGTGAAAACTTTATAGCGATCGGACAAGGAAAAAACCACTTTTAAGGCCATTGAAAAATATTGGTATGGTCTCTGAAAAACTGTATCGAAACACCTTAAGTGTAGTTTTATACAAAACGTAAGTGAATTCTCTTGCTTCCTCTATCTTAAAAACTTTTTGAAACAGTTCTGAGTAGAGCTAGCTTTCCACTTGATTGCCGTGATCGTTACGATTGCTGAAAAAGTTGAGCGAACATTCAGTTTGGTCATTCTAAAGTTGTGCGTGACGCTGGGTCACGCTCCCGGCGAATTGAACTATGGGACTGTTTGAGGGACGAATTTTGACCCAGTCCCCTGTACAAACACGTAATAAATGAGGAGCTTAAGCAAAGGCGTTGTTGAGCGACTCACGTCAACTGGAAGAGAGCCTTTTCCCTTTTAAATTATCCTGACGGAAACAAATTTGAAGGGTCTTAAATCTCATAGAGACGATTTGTCCAAAGTTCTTGGGCAAAACTATCACCCAAGAATGCTAAAACAGCAACTTCCGGTTGACGTGTGACGCCCAAAAACGCCTTAAGCTTCCTAAAAAAGCAAAAGCGATAGTATTTCCAAAAAAAGTCCCATAATGCAACGCTGACCCAGGCTCACTTGAAACCTATGCACTACGACTAGAACAAGTCTCCACGATATTATCTATTTGAAGAGGCGAAACAATGTCGCCTTTATTTATCGTCCGCTGTTTCTTCTATTACTTCATTTATGGTGACAATTTATAGAATTTTATTAAAATATATTTTCTAAACTCGGATTTGGAACTTCCCCGCTTTGGTGACGTACTTTACTCCTTTGAAAGGTTTGTATTTCTAAAAAAAAAAAAAAGAGGAAAACGATGGTAAGATGTCAGCTAAATATGACAGCGTGTTTGTGCGCCTTCGGGTGTGAGTAAACATTCAATTTCCTGCCTATCCACAGATCACAAAGGCAAAACAGTGAAAGGAAACTATCCGCCACTAGCAATTTTCGTGTATTCAAATGTTAAAGAACTTTGCCATGTAATATATGAGCCTCTGTTTGGCTACGCGTGGACTTCGCGTTCGTCGGTTTTTCAACGAAACCGTCACTTGTGTAGCAAGAACTGTTTTGCGTGGTGGGGGTGATAGCGAGCTTGAGCAACGTCACGCAGGGAAACCAGACTTACGAAATTTCGGCTTTTTCGGATAAAAAAGACGGGGTAGTAGAGGTGAAGAGCTGCAGGCGAAAAAATATTTTTCGGCTTTTGTTGTTTCCCGCCCCAACGCCCCCCCCCCCCCCCCCCCCCCCCCCCCCCCCCCCCCCCCCCCCCGCCCTCCGGCGCACCCCAGTTTCTGGGAGTGCGGACAACCAACAACCCACTAAAAGGCGACGGTGGGGGCGGCGTGGCCTTGCGTGGCTGGTCCCCCGTTGGGCCGGCGGACATCCCCCCCCACCCCCCCCCCCCCCCCCCCCCCTGGGCTCCACACTGGCACACGCGGCTGTGGACAATCTACGTATTGTAAGTAGCTGAAACCAAAGCTATACCGGTAAAGTCAGGATGGCGTGCGCTACAGTAGCTTGCGTGTCACCCACGAGAGACGTGCGAGTGCAACAGCTGGTACTCATACTAATTTCACTTACCTCTCCATAGATATCCAGTCTGCTGACCTTAAGGCCTGATGCCGCCAACTGTGCGATCTTAAAATTGACCTGAAATTTCAGGTGGCGAGCAAGAGGATTTGTTAAAAGATGAAAGAGAGTGACAGAAAGAAGCAAAGAAACATGCTGTGATGCTTACTTACAGAGATTGTACAAGATTCATCGGGAGGCGGTACGCCTGTTTGAAGGGACACCTGAAAATAAATCAACAAAGGACTTTCTTGATTACCGTATTTATTCGATTAACCGCCCTGGGCGCTTATTAAATTTTTGGACCTTGAGAGTGGGTGCTTATTCGAGGTGGGCGCTTATTAAATTTTCATCATTTTCAGAAAGTGAAGTATGTTTATTTTGCAACAAAACAATAAATGCTAATGACAAAACGCGAAGAAGTAACAAAGCAAGGTTTCTGTAAAATATTTTGAAGAAAACTCCGTCCTCTGGGAAGTCTCTTATTAGAATTTATTCACTCAAGTGGGTGGGGTGGGAGTGAACGCTTATTTGAGTTTGATTGAGAAGGGGAGGGGGTGGGCGCTAATTCGAGGTTGGGCGCTTATTCGAATAAATACGGTACATCCTAAGACGAATTTCGAACCTGCTCAAGCTTACTACGGTTTTCTTCTCTTTTTCTCGAGTCTCTGTATTCGTTCACCCCAGTTGACGCACCGGAGAGAGAATGGGGACATTACGAAACTAAGACGACGACGGCAAAGGGAATGCCTAAAACACAAAAGGTTTAGGAAGCATAACAACAACTCACTCTCCACGTGTATTACGCTTTTTTGTAAATTTCTTTGCCGTTCCTGCACACCTACGACGTGAAATGGCAAAATTTTAAGTTTTCTCGAAAATGATGACGGCAAGACAATACTGAAATGTTACTACCTCTGTCTGAATTCGGAGGATGTCCCCTTCCTTCAGCTCCAGCCAAATTTCCGTTCTTTTAAGTAAATGGGCGACTTGGAATAATCGTGAAAGTTTAAAAGGATGCGAAGCCTATTTTTCTGCGACGTTTTAATTGGCGTCGTCGTCGTTGGATTCGTTCTAGTGCGAAATCCCATTGTGAAATCAGACTCCCAGTGGAACGGCTAGCGCAGGCGTAATTTTCGTCAATTCAGGATGACGTGGTCATGTTGGTCATGGGACGAAGAAAAAAGACGCAGACATGTAAACGCGATATGATATCAAGAAGTCACCCCAATATGAAAGTATGTGGTATATAGTATTAGCGAAAAAACATTTTGCTTAGAAATAGATGGTCTAAAACCAGTGGGAATTGTAAGTGGAAGGGAGGGGAGTGGGGTTATAATGGGAATTTTATGGTACTCTTAAAGTGCTTAAGGTTAAGTAGCCTACGAACGTAGACGTATTTCCGGGCGACGCTCGGGCGGAGAGAAGCGACAACCAAAAATACGTCTGCATTTGCAGGCTATCAGTTTTAACTATTAAAAGACATGCATGGGTTACACTTACATTTCCTCTCAGATTGGGTAACTTCTGAGGTAATATTCTACCAATCTGCAAAGAGATTACAAAATAACAATTTTATTTTCTTCCTGGCAAGAGTGCCATAAAACCTAAAACCAAATTAATCAATTCGGTCAACCACATTAATGAACCAAAAACGAGAAACTTGAAAGACAAGATGGGCAAGAAGCGTACAAGAAACTCATGATTGCCATTGGTCCAAAGTTTGCTTCAGGCAATACTAACCGTTTACAAACATTGCTTTTGTTATTGACCTGCATAACGAGTGAAACAAAGAACTGGTGCGCTTCTAGTTGACACATTAATATCAATAAGTGACGTTAGCGCGAGTATCGCTATTGGCCACAAAAAAGTAACACATGAGATGGGTCAATGTTGAACAAAATTGCACCATGGGTCTGTTTTGGGGATGTCATTACTTCTTTCAAAGTGAGAGGAGAAGTCGTTACGCCACTTTGCCATGGTACCAAAATTTCTGGATGAAAACGAACTGAAAATGTCACTGAAAAAGTATTCGTACTGTTTCAAAGTTCATCGATCTTATTCAATTTTATTTAATTTGTACAACTGTAGGCAAAATTTTCTGCGGTTGAATCCAAAAGGACCGAATTTAGGATTAAGAAAAAGAAAAAGAAAATTTTTGAGTTGTGTTCACCTACTCCATAAAGGGGGCGTGTGAATTTTGGAAGTTTAATAATAATCATCATCATCATCATAAAATATTTAATATAGCGCCCATACTTTTCAGTAATGAGCGCTTTACAAAAAAATAAAAATCCTAGTTAAGGGGTTCAATAACAAATCGCTATTTGTCAGAAGACGAGCGAAGGTACCTTGCAAAAAAACAAGCAACGCATAAACACGCAAATGTAGCAGTTGTGCCACGACGGTTACGAAATGTGACGTGCAAAGTTGTTGTTTTGCTAACATAAACCTATCGCTTTTTTGCCGTTCTCGTTGCCGTTGCCGTCGTCGTTTCTCAAGCACCCTATTGTTGTGAACCATAAATTTTGCTACCATGGTACCATGGTAACATGACATCACATTTTTCCTTTCTATTGGCTTTTACAAGGTTGCGTGGAAAACTGGGTTGAAATTCGCCCCCCCGCCCCCAACAACAAAAAAGCAGTAGCGGATCCAGGAGAGGGGCCCGGGGGGCCAGCACCCCCTTATTTTTAGACCAAACTGAGGCTCGAGGGGCCGAAAAAGAGGTTTTGCTGAAAAAACATCTCTTTTGAACATAATATTTAGGATTTGACCGATGTTGATGGTTAGTTTTGATTAAAAGTAAAATTCACATTACGGTTGGAATGGGCTGGCCAGTCAGTTCTGACAAATGGAAAGCGCTCTAAAAGTAACTGAGGACCAAGGTAATTTCTTTGCTCTGGAAACGAATTGACCTTTGCATGGCTTGGACGACCAACAGAAATGGCGACCACATCTACAATAATTAGTACTTGCGTGCTGAATTCATTAACATTAAAATAAAGTACATTTTTAAATACCATAAATGTATTGTAAGTACTGAACTTACATCCCATACAAGCTCCTTCTTGACAGGATCAAAAGAACATGTACCAACTGAAAAGATAAGTACACTGTACAATTAGTGCTCAATGAGAGCCTTTGCAACAAGTAATGTGTAAGCACTGGATAACTATAAACTGGATGCTAAGTATTCCAAGAAAAAAAAAATTAAGATCATTCTAAAAAGTTAGTCATCTGACAGACGCAAAAAGCCTACCCACTGCATGGCATGAATGCAGTTTTTCATGAAAGATTTCTAAATAAGAACAATAAATTAAACACTATTTACCCAGTAAATATTAAAAAAAAAAGAAATGAATGTGAGTGTTTCACTCATTTCAGTGTTTCTAAACAATGCGCAAATTTTTTAAACCACTCATATATTGTCTTAGTCAGGCACCTTCCAGTCGGTCTATGAATAAACCTTAGATGCACAATATTTTTTTAACTTACCAGGTACTTCTTGACTTCTTGGTGTCTTGGTATTAGATGCACGAGTGGCGGGGGGGGGGGGGGGTTTTGAGATTTTTTGGGGGGGGTGTTGGGGGTGGGGCCTGGGACGGGTTGTGGGGGGCCCGTTTCTTTTACAAAAAATACACATCCTTTCCAGTGGCCCAAACACACCCAACCCACATTGATTTCTTTTCTTTGTAGATTATTTTATTGTTCTTAACAACAGTGCTAATTTTTTAAACTAGTCATAATCTTTTTTAGCAATAGACTTGTCAGACTCGTTATGACAAAACTTTATTTGTACTATTTTTTTTAAATTTACCTGGTGTTGATGGAGTCGTTTTTGTGTTTTAATTAGATCGACGTGGGGGGGGGGGGGGGGGGAGTTTTAAGAATTTTAGGGTAGGTCTATGCTGCTGGGACCCTGGAACGCTTACCAGGGGCACTTTCCATTCAACAAAAATTCCACTACATTCCAGTTGCACAGACTACACCACAGCGCATTTTGTTATTGTTCTTGTAAGTAGGATACAAAAGAGCTGTACTGGGGATAACAATTTTGTCAAATGGAAAGGGACATTTCGGTCCGACCGAACAAGATAACTGGACCGGTCAAAGTGGACCACCTTCAAAGCTGGTCCCCAATATTCCAGTAGGACCAAACCGAAATGGTCTGTTCCAACCAACCGAAATTTCTGCAATTTTGGCTTGAATGGAAAGCTCCCTCTGCGTCCTGCATCCCTGATGCATAAAAATCCCCAAAGAAGCAAAATAATTCATGGCATGCATCCAATAGGATGCAAAGATCGATACATCGATCTGAACATGTATATTTGAAGAAATATCCCATTCATGTAATTTCTATGGCAGTTATTATGGCTGTCATTTAACAATGCATATTTCTTTTAGCCTCTGTTGTGCTTTAAATTGAAGAACTATACTTTAATTTCAGTATACTGTAATACAGAGTTTTGGAATCTGTCTCCAGATTAATCGTCTGGTTACAAAAAGGCCAAAGCATTTCAATTTCGGATTTTTGGGACTCTTAGTTCTGAACTGAGACTCACGATTTTTTTACAAGACGAGTCCCAGACTCACCATAACTATTTGTAACTAAATAACTGTATAACATAGGAAATGGATACTTCACCTGAGGGGGTAAGATTGACATTCAAGACTTGCTTAGGAAAAGGAACTGTCACAACTACATCTTCCACCTGAAAAATTATGAACCAACCAATCCACTTGCTATTGCATGGCAATGCATCATAACTAGATTTACTAAAATTATGGCTAGCTCCATAATCAGGCAAGAGGGGGTGAATCTGAGTTCTGATTGGCTTGAGTACCAGAGCTGGCAAGATGGGCCTCCTGATTTGTCCCATAAGGTGTTGTTTGGACCATGTAACAAATCCTCTATTGAACAACATTGTTCAGTGAAGATGGCTGGGGTATTGACCCTATTCTTTTTTTAGTTTTTATACAAGAACATAATTTATTCAGAGTTCTGACTGACAGGAGGCAAACCCAGGGGCTGTTTAGAAGCATACGTAAATCCTTTATTAAGCTCCTGGGGTGGGGGGCTTAATGGAGATGGGTGCTTATTTGAGTGGCAGGGGGGCGCTTATGTAATTTAGAAAAGACGATGGTATTAGTTCTCCATAAAGAACTAGAATACAAAGTGGAAAAGCTAGTACAAGAAGGTTGGAGGTCATGAACCCAAGGATCAGAATCAAATCAGAACTTCCAGTTAGTAAATAAACCATCCCAGATCAGTCCCCACAAAGTTTTACAGTTGTGATTTGTTAATACAGTCTATCATTTATTAGTGAAGAAAAATAAGGGGGAGGGAAGGGAGGCTTAATAGAGGATTTACAGTATCTGAAGAGTTGAATTATGAACTTTTGAGAAACATTATGCTTGTAATAAAAATCTAAAATGCGGGTGGTCACTCTGATTGGATAAAGTCCTTTCTTTTAAAAGAATTTGATTGCTTTTTGCACCCCACCCCAACACCCACAATCCACGCAATCTGTATTACATTCCAAATTACTGTCAGTAAAAGTCCGTGTTGGGCACCTACAGTGTACTAAAGAATGCTCCTTGAAGAAATGCCTCATGCTACCAAAACATTTATATGTCACATGAACAATGTAGTATATTACACTCTATGCACTTACAAAACAATCACTAAAAAATGCAGTTACAATGCTCTTTGTTTTAACTCCTTTAAACTGCATTAAAATGCATTAACAAACATTAAAACCATATACTCACTGTTTTTCCCATTGTTTGTTTAGGACCAACAGTAAGTTCAAACCTTCCAGAACCACCCTATGACAGTGAAAAAAATAGACAAACTGATAGTGTTGCAACAACTTACAAGTTGCATAGATGTTTATCTCCTCCCAAACTTTTCTTAACTACATGTACACGTAGTATCCAGAATTTTAGATTTGAGAGAGATTTAGAACCACATTTATGGCAAATGGTATTTCTCAGATTCAAGTTGAACAGTAAACGACTAGTAAAGGGTAGCCTGCAAGCAAGCTGTCCATTTGGGGGATATGGCACGCCAGAGACACGCCAGAGGAGCTGCGAAAGGAGGGGGGGGGGAGAGGCCTTTGTGTCTTCACCACTTTCTCGCATGTTCTCACTCACCCAAATAGGAGAGCTTGCTCGCAGGCTAAGTAAAGGGTAAATTTTTGTCACATGATGCCATGAACGGACATTAGCCATTTGCTGTAAACATGATTCTTAATCTTGAGATTGTTGAAATCAAGCAATAACAAAACCTTGCTGATCATGCTAGCAATTAATGATGTTGAAAAGTCTGTAGTTTTTTCTTATCCTGTTAACACACAGAATTTGACTTACCTCATGGTAAGATATTTGGGGTTTTGCATACACAGGAATTGCAACAGTTCTGTGCAACAAAATACAGCACATTAGTTGGCAAGTATAAAACATAGGTCACAGGTCAATGCTCTATTGATAAATACACTGAGTTAGACGGTTTCCACTTAAGCGAACACTCTTGTCTAGATAGTGATGATAATAGGACTAGGAGACACCTTTACTGTTGTTTACAACTACAGGTCAAAATTAAATTCATGTTAAAGTTTTTCAACCTAGGTTGATTCTCATTTCCTTTGTCTCCAAGCCCTAATTCATGGATGATTTTATTTTGACCTGTAACATTAATTTTATTTACCGCAGCACGGTGACCTGTACTCTAACCTGCACTTGTTAACTGTGACATGCATTTTGTACATGCCACATATTAGTGTGGTCGAAGCAAACTAGAAAAACTAGAAGTAAATGCAATGATGCAAAAACTGTATTTTCAGCCTTGTCTTGAAAGCTTAGATGTTCAAAAGTGCATTTTGTACATGCCACATATTGGTGCAGTCAAAGCAAACTAGAAAAACTAGAAGTAAATGAAATGATCACAAAAACAGTATTTTCAGTCCTGCCTTCAAAGCCTAGAGGTTCAAAAGATTCACAAGAAGTGTGAAACTGTGGATTAACTTGTGAGTTCTTCTTGAATAATTAACAAAACAAAAGAGCAAGACTTACCCAGAGGTTATGTGATAGGATAAAAGTCTATAATTTCCATCAGGGGGAACAAATGACAAGACCTTCTCACTCTGCAAGGAAATAGTTTTTTTCCATCAACAAAAGATTTAGCTATCATCTGCTGTTTTACTAAAAATTGATGATATTTCATGCTCCTTGTTGCATGGGAGGTACATGTATGACAGAGAATAGAAGAAAAAAAAACAACAAATGTGAAAAAGCACAGGGGATGTGCCAGGGAAGAGGAAAAGACCGATCAGGTGATTCAAATAGCATGATGTTGACTATTTGGAAAAAAAACATTGAGGCAATTAAAGGCTGTAAAAGCCATTGCATGTAATTTTAACTTATTCAATGAAACCAATCATGAACTGAATGTCAAGAATCTGAGGGTGAAATAAAAATAGTAAAAACATGGCATTTTTACAGGTGAGCTTCTCACTCCTGATTGCGCACCCTTTAAGTTTTAACCCACTTTTCTTTTTTTTTTGCCATAACAATACATGAACCTGTCAGGCATACATGGGATGTGGATTGTACTACATAAGCAAGTTTGCTGTGAACACTAGTACTTTTTTTTTAATTGCATACAGACAAAAAATCTAAGAATTAATAAATAATTCTCAAATTTGAAAATAATAATAATAATAATAATAATAATAATACTAATACTAATAACAATAATGGTAATAGCACTGAGTGGAGTCCAATTCAGTCTGTACTATACATCGGACGACTGTGTAGCAGGAGTCCGATTTGTTTAATCAAAAGTATGATTACAGACCATACTGGACGACACGAAGTTCTGTTACCAATTAATCATAACTACAACAAAATTTGTTACATTTTAGATATTTCTAATTAAAACACAAGAAAATTCCGAGTGTTTTTTTGCTACATGTAACAGTGAAAAAAAGCCAGTTGAGCATGTGCATGCGATGGTGCGTACCGTCCAATTACAGGCACAATGTGTACAGTCCTATTACACTGTCCTAATACTGCTGAAATCAGGACATTTGATAGTCAATCAGATTTGAGAATTTTGTTACAGTTATGATTATAATTATTATTTAATATTTATTATTAGTTCTTACTTCCCATCTCTTTAGTCTCACACAAGGATGAAAACTAGGATCCTCAAGCAACCTTGAGTTCACAAAAGATAATGACAGATCTGGCATTCCTGACAGCTTGCAGCACGAGTCGATCTGTTATAAAGGAAAACCTGTTAATTTGGAAGTATGAAGCTTTTTGTTTATCAGTAAGTGAACTTCAGTGAGACACAAGGTTTTAGAGAGGTGTACTTTTGCCCATAGACAACCATTGTTCAGTAACTTTATTATTTATTTCTATTCAGGAAAGTAATTGGGTCAGTCTAGAAAAACCTGACAGAACAAGGAAGAGACCCATTAAACTCACCACATTTTTTAACACTGTTTTACGTCATGAGAACATCATAGAGGAGTTTAAGCAACAACATTTTTGAGTGAGGCACTTCAAACAAAAATGGATTTCTTGCATTCTTGGGCATTGTTTTGCCCAAATTTTAAGGCAAATAACGGTGTCTACAACAGTGAAGACATATGTGCATGTAGTGATACAAATATGGTACTGTCAATGCATATTGAAAGGGAAAAGGCCCCATTTCAGGTTGATGTGCATTGCTCCAATATATCTTTTGCTTAAGCTCACTATTCTCAGTTTCAGACCTCATAACATGCCCCTAACACTGAAACATTTACTATTTTTCTTTCAATCGCTCTATTTTTTTTAAATTCAATTTACAGAGTACTAACTGTTAGAAGTAAATATGGCAGCTATTATCATTCATCAAAGCTTATCAACTTACCACTCCTTGGATTTCTGTAAAAACTGTTGAACCCTGCAAAAACAAGGAAGTGGTAAACTGAATGCCCACTCAGACAAAAAAATGATGTTAATGAGGACTTCAAATTTATTTGTGGTATGCAATATAAATGAGCGACTCTGTTAACTACACAAATCATAGCATGTCATACATACATGTTTGTCAATTATACAATCAATTTCCTCAATGACATCAAAATAAACCTGCAAGGAATAGAACTTTTGTAAGAGGCTACTTAATTTCAATGCCACAGTTGCGCATTTGCAGCGAACATAAAAAATTGTCAAAATCACAATAAATTATTAAAATAAGTATCACAAGGTCATAGGTCCAAATCCTGTTCAAGCCTGAATTTTTTTCAGGCTTTCAAATTTCAACTGCTTAAGTGAAACAGTATATGTGGCAATGGTAGCAAAGAAATTGACAAAATAACAGCTTGTGTCAAACAAATATGTCTCCTTGGTGTTATATGTAAAGTTTAGAATAGAAAAACAATGTCTGGTGAAACATTTTGTTTTCTTGAAAAACGTTTGCCATCAAAATTTACTTTTGTACCTCGAGTAACTTATTGTTTTCTTACGAGCTGCTGATTGACCCACAACCAACTCTCTCGCAACGTATTGTTATTTTCCTGTAATCCAATTGGTCAACTTTGTCTAGGTGACCCCTGTTACAGTAGTCACTCTGTAAATACAGTATTTTCATAACAGCAAATGAAGGTACCTCATTATGCGTGTATTTTACACCCGTTCTTCTCCATGGTACATTGGAAAGTTGACCAGTAGGCAGATGAGAGCTGACACTAAGATAAAAATTTAGCAACTGTCAGTATGTAACGTTGGATACAATACATGTATCTACTGAGAAAAACTGTTACATAAAAATCTAGACCATGAATAGTTTTTGGCACTGAAAATCATTGCATAGTTGAGTTTTTAACCCTCTGTCTCCAGACATTGTCCCTCTTCAGTCTACCCACAATAGCGATGTCTTCTCCACAAACATGGCAGAACAAACATGATGACCTAACAGTTTTTTTTAGCACAAAAACTAGTCGAGCTGTTTGTAATAAAGAAAAAAAATAGGTCTCTAGACAGCACATTATTCCAGTTTTTGTTTTGTCTGTTGGGGACTTGCGATTTTATTGGCTTGCTGTGTCATATAAGCATGAAATGTAACCAGTTTTGCCAAAGAAAATCATAAAATGATAAAATGACACTTACAAGCAATGACTAGAGCATAATAGACTCTCCTTGCTTGTGAACTGAATCATACAGTAATAATGACTGTATTATTTGTATCTGGCCTTCAGAATTCGCTGTCCTTACGAATAGACATTACGGACTTGACATGATTGCATAGTGTTACAGTTTACATGGAAACTGTAACACAAAAATTGTGAGTCAAATGATTAAAAACTGCTTACTGTGATCCACCAGTTACTGTGTTAACAACTTGTCTTACAAGGCTTGGAGGATTTATAAGTTCACGCAGGATGTTAGGTTCTGTTGCCAGAGGAAACCCATTATCCAGCATCTCCTCAAGTAACTACAAACCAATGATCAAAAATTTATCTTTAAGGTACAACATGTTAACTATAAACAATGAAGGAGTGCACTCAACAGGGTATTTTCTGTCATTTGCCTCACTAGCCCAGAAGTGACTCTGCAATATTTTCATCTTTCAGTTTGCTAAAGCTGTCACATTCAAAATGATTTCCTAATCATTTATGCATTGGCATTGTATTCTCCTTCACTGAACAGAAAAACATAAATACATGCAACAATCATTGAAGTGACCCACTAGTATCAACTACAGTATGACATGTACAACATATTAACAAAAATTTATACTCTTATAATGGTAAATCGACTAAGTGTGACCATCAGTAATTATTTTTTATTTTTATTATTATTATTTCTTTCATGAGTAGGAATACTAATTTAACCAAATACATATTAATTTTGACCTATAGCATCAACACTCATAATAAATACTGACTAATTCTTCGCCCTTTTTCCTCACCTCAAATACAATGACAACATTATCTTTGATAGATGTCTCAGTGCAACTGCTAAAGTATTCTGTAAAAGTGTCCACAACTCTATGCAAAAACTCAATAACAAAGAGAGGGGGTACTGAAAAAAAAACAAACAAACAAAGGATATCCTTTTTGTATGATTTCTGTGGCTGTTGTTTAACCATGCATATTTCTTTTAGTCTTTGTTGTGCTTGACAATAGAAGGAGTATATTTTTATTTCAGTAAACTGTAATACAGAGTTTTGGAGTCTGTCTTCAGATTAACTGTGTGGTCACATAAAGACCCAGGGAGTCGTGTTTTAGAACTGGGACTCAATGGTTCTGGACTGCAACACTCATGATTTTTCACAAGATGAGTCCCAGGACCCACCACAACTATTTGTAACAAAATCAGTAAATGACCACTTCTCATAAGCAACTCTGACCACTTCTGACAGTTTTATAGTTTTTCTTTGTTTCTAACCTCTTGTGAGCAACCACTTGACACACAATGTAGTCTCTTTGTTTACTGTATGTACTACAAATGACATGGTTTGCTACTCATACTTTACGAAGAACTTTCATTGAAAACATTGTTAGTTACACGTAAAGTAACTTAGAAAATTACGTGCAGTCATTTATCCTAAATTCTCTCACAAAAAGTAGATTTGTCTGGAACTCTTCTCGGACAAGACCACCTTTGGTTAGATTCTTGTAAGATACCACCTAGCCTGCAAAGCAGGCGTATTGTGCAGCGCAATCCATGATTGTTTTTTCAGGAATAATAACATTATCCCCCCAACTTGGAGGTTAATACTACCAGAGAGTTGAGACAAGTCAATAACTGATTTTAAGGGAGAGGTTCCCTCCCCCCTTTCTTGCCCCTCCTCCCTTACTCTTCTCCTTGGCTTTTCAAGATGGCCGCCGCGATCAATGTATGTCTAAGTTTCCGTTAAAAAATGCCTGCTCTGCAAGCTAGATATCACCTCATGTAAGCAACCAGTTAATCTTCACATTTTGGGTAGTCCCCTAGTGCCCTGTATGTAGTAATGGATGTATTTGGAATTGGAGGAAGCACAAAATTTCCTCCGGCAACTATGAGCAAAGGCTGAAGAGCTGTGAGATGTGGCTTTGGGGGAAGGACTTAAACATATCTTGGTCTTGGTCTGACAGTATTGGTCATTCCCTTTGGCACGGTTATCTTTAGTTATTGAGGGGAGATTAATAAGAAAGAGACCACCTGGAAGGTCTCGAGCAGGAATGCTGGATAAAGTGAAGGAAGACAGCCCTTATACAGCCGCCAAGAGGTGCACCTTAGATCAGGAACTATATAGAGGAAGGACCTGCCTGTCGGCAGAACACATACACACACTATGAGCATAACCCTTGGATACTTTCATAAGGAGAGAAAAGGAAACAGAACTAAAAGAACTTCCTAGCTGTTCAATTCCCTGCATACTAATTTCACACAACCTTCAGCTTTAAGTCTTAAAAACAGCCCTGTTAAAACTATTGTTAAACTTGTACCTTCTGTCTGTACAACTGCTAGGAAGAACAGCTCATTCCTGTAGATACTTATCAGGTAATGATGAGGAGCAGCAATTACTGGTGGCACATCTTCTGGTGAATTTGCCTGGCGAAAAACATATGTCTACAATAATTACCGTATTTATTCGAATACGTGCCCAACCTTGAATTAGCGCCCACCTCATATAAGCGCCCATCCTAAAGGTAGAAAAAGTTAATAAGCGCTCAGCTTGGAATAAGCACCCACCCCCTCCCCTTCTCAATCAAACTCAAATAAGCATTCACCCCCACCCCACCCACTTGAGTGAATAAATTCTAATAAGAGACTTCCCAGAGGTCGGAGTTTTCTTCAGAGTATTTTACAGAAACCTTGCTTTGTTACTTCTTTGCGTTTTGTCATTAGCATTTATTGTTTTGTAGCAAAATAAACATACTTCACTTTCTGAAAATAGTGAAAATTTAATAAGCGCCCAGCCTCGAATAAGCACCCACCTCGAATAAGCTCCCACTCTCAAGGTCCAAAAATTTAATAAGCGCCCAGGGCAGTTAATGGAATAAAATACGGTAAATCAGCTCTTACAAAAAAATGCAGAGCAGAAAGGATTAAATTTGCATACAGCTGATAAGGCCCTGGCTCCAGTTGATCAAATGTTGGATAATGCTATCAACTGGATAAATCTCTAACCAGCAGACAATGCAATTGGTCTCCCTAATACTTATCTGCTGAATAGTGATTTATCCAGTGGATAGAGTTGATCATCATTTGAATAACCGTGCCTTTTAGGGTAAAATTCTGACAAGCAAATGTGGCCTTGAAAGAGCGCCATAATGGCAACATGCAACATAACGGTAGGTTGAAACTGCAACAGCAACAAGAATAATCATGAATACAATATTCAACACTAACAGGACCATGGTGACCTCCTTGATATGGCAAATGACTAGTTTTGAAATTCAGAATAGGGACGTCCCCCCTCTGCGGGGGCCTCATTGATGCTCCTGAAGTTTTTTCTTTTTTTAATCATTGAAGAAGAAATTCAGAAAATTTTAACAAACCAGTGATTTTGTGACCTCTGCATCCTGCGTCCCTGATGCATAAAAATTCCCACAGACACAAAATATATCATGGCATGTGTCCCATAAGATGCAAAGAATGATCAATTGATTTTAAGATTTTTGGCAGAATATCCTGTTTGTGTGATTTCTGTGGCTGCATATTTATTAAGTCTTTTTTGTGCTTTGAATATACAGGACTATATTTTAATTTCAGTAAACTGTAATTTAAAGAGTTTTGGAGTCTGTCTCAAGATTTACTGTCTGGTTACATAAGGCCCAATTTGGACTCATTGGTTATGGACAGAGACTCATGATTCACCGTAACTATTTGTAATAAAATCACTACAGGACCATAAAAAACGAATATAATAACAGAAAAAAATACAAGAAATTAAACCTGCAGGACCTGAGTCCACTGACATGCAAGTAAGCTTCAGTTTAATTTTACAACGACACACGTAAAAATAAAATATTATAAAGTGCATGGCTATAAATTGGACAGAAAATAATATGTAAAACAAAAGGTATACCTCACCTTGGACAAAGCTTCAAAGAAATGATCGCAGACAGACCGACCAATCACACTTTTCCAATGTTTTTCAACGAAAATGTCCCTTTGAGATGACAAAAATGTAAGGTTACAATTTAATAAAAAGTTACTTAAAATTAATGCAGCGATGGGCTAGATCTTGGAGAGGTTAATTGACCATTGAATTTCAAGTTTCAAACGATACCTACCCAACATTATTTATGACGAAAAGGCTGTTGATCATGTTTTAAAGCGAAACTACGAGGAATATACCCAAGATGGCGGATGCTGCAAATGCGCGTGCTCCATCTGTGTAGATACGTGGTGTATGGGGCGCCTAATATATCTTTGTTAACCCGCGATCAGGCATCCTGTCTCATTGTTCTTGGGGTGACCAGACGCCAAGGGTGTTTAGGGATTTAAGAGGGGGCGTTTAATAGATAGAACACATTTAAAAGAGAGAGGCGTTTATTCTCATAACTGTAACAAGCGCAACAAAGATGTCTAGAGATCCGCATCGCTTTTTAGAATACTCGCTCAGGGTTATTTAGACTTGCTACAAGTCGACCTCCCGAGTTTCTTAGCGAACGCAGCGAGCTTTTTAGGCCGCGAGGAGGCCAAGGAAACGACGAAGTCGCGAGAGGTCGTACTTCGTTCCGCGCCATATTAAATCGGACGACGGACTTTTTTGAAAGTCCAAGGGTCATTGTGTTGCCATCGTTTGTCTATTATTAAAGTTGTTGTTATTATTACTTTGAACTTGACATTGAACAAGAAACTTTATACTTCCATCGTGAAAGAATTAACAAGACGACATATGACTCAAGACAAGAGTAACAAGAATAATTAAAAAACAATTGCGGATCCTCAAAAGGGCAAGTTCAAAAAGTACCCTAGACCCACGCAAGGCACCGTCTTGATGTCAAATAATTCATTTTACCCCTGAAAAAAAAGTGAAAAAAAGGGGGATGTGGTAAGCACAGTCACTTCCACCTGTGACGACGACAGGTCATCACTAATGTCCATAAGCAAGATCTTTCTACGTCAAAGGTATTAACTAGAGTGGTGAACATACAGGGAACATAGTTTTATAAACAAACTTCTTAATTAAAAGATTGCTTATTAGAGAAACTAGTAGGGAACTTAAGTGAACCCTTCTCAATCAAGCACGAATCTGAACAAATGAAATGATTTCGCGCTCCTTTTTGCTAATTCCTTTAGTGCTATTTTGGAGTAATTGTCATAGGGGTGTCTATTAGACAGGGGGCGTTTATTAGAGTGGGGCGTCTGATTAACAACCTAACATTGTAGAGGGGGCGTTCATTAGACAAGTGGCGTTTATTTGAGAGTGGGAGTCTATTAGATCATTACGGTATCACTATGGTGTGAGGATTTGTCGAAAAGCGAAAAATAACCCTTGAAATACTGAGCTGGAATCTTGATAGATGATTAGTGTTATAAAATTTGCTTGCTTCTTAGAAGATCAATGGAGTTACAAGATTTTTCCACCAAGCCCAACTTCCTTATACGGACCCCACTGGGACGGAGTCAGAGGGAAGGGCAGTTGGAGCCCCGGGGCGACTTCCACGTAAAAGGCCCGTGGCAGATACTTGCGAAGGAAATGGGAATTATTAAGAAGGAATCCATCAGGAAATTGAGTAACATAACGGGTGCAACATAACACCGACCCAGTCTCACACAACTGAATTACGAAACTACGACGGCGTCGGCAACGAGATCGTCAAAAAGCTTAAAAAGCAGCAGGTATATATAGTGAGCAACACAGCCGAGTGACAAATCTAAACGTGCATCTTGCTTTTCTGTAAATTTCTTTATCGTCCCTGTAAAACTACTACGTGAAATGATCAAATCTTTCAGTTCTCGTCTCTTTCTGAACTCAGGCGTTGTTCTCTCTTCCGGGACTCTGAGACTGAAAGAGTTGGAAATGAATCGAAGTCGCTGCCGTCAGCTCGAGAGCTCCCTAAGTCTTGAGCCACCAGACAAGAGGATTTAACCTTTTAATTCATCTTTGTCAATGTCAGGAACGCTCCCAGCTTTTTGACTTTTGAAGCTCGTCGTCAATAGCAACAATCTAAAAGCGCAATGCTATAACAAGAGATTATGATCCCTCGGCTATAATTACTAAAGGATAACAGTTTTAGATGTATTCCTATCCATTTCAGAAGAAGAAGGCAATTGCAATAAATTCAAATTTTTTCCGGTGAGAATGCTCCGAACCGGCCTTCTTAGTACATTTCAGCCTTCTCCGCATTCGGAATTGCGCATGCCCCTTACCTACTCTCCTTCGTGGGGTACGATCGTCCCTTCCCATCGTCCTCCGCGCTCTTTCTTGTTTCCCTCTTCCCAGCCTCCCCACAACGCAAAGAGGCCCCTTCGGACTGAGGAGAGAACCTCTCACCCACTCTAAGACCCGTTTCCCGTGGTCAGAGTATCAGCAATTTACTAATTATTAATTATTGATTTATTTTATTTGTTTGCGGCGCTCAACCAGTACTTTTATACTTCTTTTCGTATCTCTTTCCACTGCTTAATGAGAGAATTCTGGCTGTAAGAAAATAAATTTTAATTTTAATTTTAATTTTAATATTATTTGAAAAGACCAAGAGCCATAACCCATTATGGCTCTTGAAAAGACACAATATTGCCTGACAGCTCACAATAGACAAAATATGGAATTTCGGCAAAATTTAAACAAAGTCAGCGCTACTTTAAAGAATTAATCTAGTTCATTCAGGATGTATTTATGCATTGGCTAGCCAGACAGTGATTAGATGGTTTAATCTCACCGAGCGAGGCCTTTTTCAAAATTGATAAAGGAATCGGACTTTGGGGCTGATATTTCAAAAATTCCTCAGGCGCCGCATCAACAAAGGAGACTAATTTACCCGTTGGCAAAAAGATTAGCAGCTGAAAGCTGCGGCGAAAGGCAATTTTCCTTACGCATGGTATTCGCCCTCGGGCTAGCATGCCCTGAGGGTAAGCTTCCGGACTCCATAAAAAAAAGAGATAAATCGAATAGCCGACAGGCCATGCTACTCTGTAGCTCTCTGTGTTTACTATATTTCGGTGGCAAAGCACCTTTTTTATTTCATAGCTTTCTTTGTAATTTAAATTCGTTTGAAATTCAATTGAACGCACAAGAAGCTCCTTGGATGTATGGTTGTCTTCATTGAAGGTAAGAGACTGCGTGGGAAATAACTTGTAGCATTTTTATATGGTTAAACCTCATCTACAACAAAACTAGCGTCGGCTTTGAAAGAAAAGCCTGGGTATATTCAATGTCTTGAATGCGCCATTTCTGTGACCGACGACTGTACAGCAGCAGCAAAGACTTACGAAGGATAGCCCGCGTCGTGTGTCACTTTATATTTTCGACAAAAACTGCAATTTCTCGGCCTTTTTTTTTTCATGTCAATTGTTAATACGTAGCGGCGATCTGACAATGGATGGAGTGTGCCCTGATATAATTATAATTCATTCAAAATATTTTTGCCAGTGCAGGGTTCAGCAGGGAAAAGATTCCATGCCACGTGTCTTTGCGCCGGTATGAGAAAATGGATGTGAAAGCCTTGCATTGATTAAACGGACGGCCACGCGGGGGCATATATAGAGGAGAGGCGAGGACTGACTTTAAACACTCAAAATTAGTTTTATTATTACGTTACAACAGATAATGAGTCACGCAGTCCAAAAATAAAAGGGTTTGAAGGTCCTTAAATTCCTCTGAGAGGATTGATGAGATGCAGGTTTTTTTCAGGGGACAGTACGCCCTTATTTAACATGATATGGCGTCTACTTTTAAAACTTATCTAGTCAATTTTTTTTTAAGTGGCCGTTTGATGGTCTGATCTCTATAGAGCTGGTTAGAATATGAGCCAAATTCCATCGGGCCTGCAAAAAAATAGGAAAATGGATGTCAGAATTACTGACGATTAACCTCATAGTGAACTGTCATAAATTTCTTCAACAGATCAAAATCTATTAACCATTTAAATCCGCGCGAGAGCAACATCAATTTTCTCTTAACAATACTCATAGAACATCAGGAGAAGAGATTATGAGAATTCTTAAAATGATCACCAGAGGGAATATAGTTGATTAAATCTTTTATCAGATTCTCTAAACTGATTTTCTAAGGAAAAGTATGGAGATCAGTTTGGAGAATTTTAATTCACGGTTCAGTCACTAAATGGTCGATTATTCTTGTTTCTTAGATTAATATTGTCTTTCAGTTATTTAACTTCACATGATAGTGCGTCACTTGATTTAATCGATAATTATAAAACAAGTCGAGAGACCGGTGGCAAAATTGGGTAACCTGTGAGCAGATCTAACCAATTTTCTTCCATGTGTAAATGACGTCAGCACCCAGGCTGATAATTGGTGGCGATTTACTGTTTTATTACAAAATACAACACAATGTGACCAAACAACTTTCAAAGTGCTCAATAATTTAGGCTAGTTTTACGTATTTTATTATGTTTCCTCACCAAACTTACCAGATCATTTGATTTGGCCAAGTGATACGTCAACTTATGACGTCACGACGGATGACGTCACCAAAAATGGGGTTTGTGAAATAAGTCAAGCTTTAACTATCTGAAAGAGCTTTATAACTTTGGTTTGTTTGTTTATCTTTTTTCTTTTCCCAAGATAAGCTCATTTTTGATAAGATAAACCCTTAATAGCTGCCCAACATCATATCGTTTTAGATTTTCGTTTAATTGGCAGATTCAGCTTGAAAAAATTTACTTTTTAATGAAATTTAGGGGACATAAAAGTATCTCTATTTGGCATCATACACATATACGCGGTGAACCAGGTGCAGGGGTTCAGAGAAACGGTGCGAGGAACGTTAAAGTTCTTGAAAACTTTCGCGCGCAGTTTCTAACTGTGATCACAGTTTCTCCAACTGACGAGAGAGTAAAAACAAAATGTTTCCTCATACATTATGTTCGCCCCATATAAGGAAATCCGGATTCCCAAATCCGGGAAATTTTTTCTTTTGGAATCCGGAATCCGGCGCGTTGGAAACTGCAATACAGCTCTAGGAACTCGGAATCTCACCATCGATTGGAATCCAGAATCCAAGTTCCACTGACAAAGACTGGAATCCAGTGCCTGGAATATTACAAACAAAGCCAGTTGCAGTCATTTACTGTACAAATAACCGAAGAGAAAAATAATTGCCCAAGCTTTCGGTTCTCAACAGTATACGCGTTGACCTTTGTACAGTGTTTTTCTTAAGGAAAGTTCCGGAAACTTTTTTGTACCCGGTCTTGAATTACCGTAAGCCATCTATTATGGTCTCCTGGTCACCCAACTTTTCCAAAAAAGCCATTAAGAGTGCTTCAGTTAAGTATCATTGAAACTCATGTAAATCGCGAGAAGTGTTCTCAGAAAACGTGGTTAATTTGAAGTTTAAAAATAGAGGCTTTATAAGTAACAGCACTTCTGGCGCCACGAGGCCTTGGATCCCATTGAGTTTCTCACGTATACTTGCAATATAATCAGTCGTAAAAGCCTAGCATGCCCTGAGGGCTAGCTGTGTTTGATCAATATTTGTGTCAGACGTGTTCGTTAAGAAATTTTTTATATCTTCCAGCGCGGCTTTTGTTTTAAGCCGGACCGGGAGGTAGAGTCTGACACAAATCTGGCAAATAAGTTGTAGGGTTACGATCATTACTGTTAGTCAAGAAGAGTTTAAGAAACTACGCAAGAACTAGTTTTTTGTTATGCAGATTTTAAACGGGCGTTGTTGATCTTTGTGGCTGACATCAGTGAAAGCGTGATATGAAACACTTGTTTACGATGTGATCAGCAAAACAGCCTCAAGCACTTGCTATTAATACATTGTACGAAAGCCCGATGATAAACCCCATTCTACACAGGTTTGATAACGTAACAACTGTATGTATGCCCGATCAAGTTGAAACGAAAAAAAAAAAGAAAAGAAAATACAAAGCGGGTCTGATGTGTCTTCCGCTGGTTTTTCGTAGTCCCGTTAGTGTTGGAAATCGATGAACGCCTTGTTCGATTTCCTGTTTGCGATCGGCGAAATCAGTATGCGAGGTAGTCTCTGTACAAATTGCAATTCAGGCTTTTGGCGGCGTGAAGAACTAATAAAGCGAAAAACTACTTGTAGCTAAGGCTGTGTTTAAATGACTTAGTTGAATGCCACTTAGAGGCAAACCCCTTGTTAATGATCATGAAATCAGGTTCCTGCTATGCTTGACAATGTACCTTTAAATAGAGGCTTTTTTGAAAGGTTGACCATCTATCTACAAAGTGAATGGCTACGAAAAAAAGGATAATACAAGATTTTCCTAACAGTAAAAAAATGATTATCTCTATATAATATACAGTCCCCGTCTGTAGTAATGGCTGTGGATCAGGCCTCTTTTTGTATTGTTATTCCACAGTTTTAATCGAGCAATATTGCCCATATTCATAGGCCAAGGCCACGAATATACCGCTTTCGCAGGGGTCGGTAAAGTTCCAGCGCAGAAATAATCCCCTCATAATAAATTTGATATCCTGTAAATATGTAATTTGTTTGTTGGAGTACTAGGAGTGATTTCTGTTTCCAAAGTATCTTGAATGGAACGACCGTATTTCGTGTGCGGCAAGTTCTCCTTGTAAAGCAGTATAATCAATATAACATACAAAGCCCTGGGGCTATTTTAAAACACAGATTTTAATGTGCATATATAACTTTTGTCTCCTGGGGGTTGAATTCAATTACAATAAAGCTGACTGTCGGCCATTAAAATCTTTAATTTTGCATAATAAGCCTGGGCGAATAATCTTGACTGCCGGCGGGTTGCAAAAATTTGAAAACTAGGCAAGGCAGAGCTACTTATTGTGGAATCGCCCTATCCCAACAGCACCAATACAAGGATTGAAGTTGTTAAGCAATTTTTTCTCATAGATACCTCTGCTACACGGTGGGTTGGCAGCAAAGGAGTGTCAGCGATGACTTCACAAGACAAAGTCTTAGTTAGAATAAAGACTGAGTGGGGCGCCGCCTTAAGCCCGGTGTCGGAGAGACGTGATAACGCTGGCAGTAAAAGCTACTACAAGCAAATCATACAGCAAGCAAAACAAGGTAAAGAAGCTTCGTTGGTTCTCGATGGTCCGCTGCAATAAAAATTTAAAATTCACGTGGAAACTATTAAAACTTTCTCATACTATAAAAAGTGACTTAAATGAAGTTTCTGGTAAGTTCTATAGGTAAACTGTTACGGGCACGTGTGTGCGTTATGTTCTTCAACAAAGATTATCGTAGTGAAATGAAGACTTGAAAACGGCGTCTGTAATAGAAGGTATATCATAAATACTTCATACCATTTTAAATATTCCACCATCATCATGTTTATATAATATTCAGCGCCATAAAGCACCTTAGTGCCTGAGGCGTTTTTTCTCCTTCATTGATTTTACACCGTCACGCTGTAATAGATTGGCAGCGTTGAGCCTTATTAATTCTGCTACAGCTTTTTTGTTCAATGGATTGTAACACGAGGTATTGTTGCTAGAAGAAAAACTAAAAATAGCATAACCCAGCCGTTTTAATACAAGTTTGTATATCAATGTCTAGGATCTTAGTAAACATATTAGTGCGGCTTTGGCAGTTAATTTGGACAAGTCTAGAAAGCACGAGGTCGAGGTTCTTTTAGTGAATCACAGGCAGCCCAACCTGATTGACCGGTCGGCTGATAGCAGGTAGTGCCAACGTTAAGCGAGGGAGCTAGACGTTTTCAGGGTTACTGACGTTTCACTTTGGCAACTTTTAACTAGGGAGCGACGGCAGTGAAAACGTTGCTAAAAAAATTAATTTGCGTCCTTTCAAACCTTTTTTCGCGTCTATTTCTGCTTTTTGGACCCGCGCTCACTTTGTCAACATACAATTTTTCCTGGAGTTGAATTCTTGAAGGACTTTATCCAGGCTCAAAAAGAGAAAGGAAAATTCGTCGTTGTATGCGGTCCTCGTCCTCCATAAAACGTCGCATTATCCGATTATAGGAGGTTTCACGTCGTAGTCGTGCAGTGGACTCCAAAGAAATGGACTACAAAGCGTGATACTCGTGCAAAGCTGTTGTTTTGCTCATAAAACCAATTGTTTTTTAGATGTTGTCGGTTGTCGTCGTCGTCGTTGCTTAAGCTCCCTCACTGACACACGACGACGATGAGGTTTTCTTCTTTCCAGCCAATTCTGTCAAACATTTCAAGGCTGATATTGGGACCGTTTGAAACCCCCTCGTTAACATTGACGTGAGATACAGAGCATGTTTAGCACAGTCTTTCAAAGCAGAAGATAATTTCACTAGGATATTCTTACGCCAAATAATAAAACTTTTCCTGAAATATTGGGTTGCATCCGTGCTTGATACATCGTTTCTCCTTGCAGGAAACGAGGAATTTATGCGTCACGAGGAAACTCCTTGCATTATAGTCAAGCAAGAGCCAGTTGACGAAACGTGCAACCGTCCCCACAATGTGGCGCCATTTTCCTCTACTTGGAAGAAACTTCAAAGTCGAAGCGATTCCGTCGATGAGTTTAGTGAAAAAATATCGCTAGAAAATGTGAAAGATGGGAACCATTCAGACTGCGAATCTCCACCTAAACACACGTCACACCTTGACGGCCCAACCCGTCCCGAGAAGATCCGAAAATTTCCCGGTTCTTCGCGTGAAACTGAATCTCACTCGTTCTCGTGGCCAACTGAAGAAGAACTGAGACGTCTGCGTTTCGAGGCAGGGAAAAGCCCTCTAAGGGCCTCGCAAAATCGAGGCGGTTACTTATCATGTCCTGACAAAAGTTCCTTTAGCCGCTTACAGTCACCGCCGACAGCGAATTCATACTTTGCAGAACGTATCCGCGGAAGACAAAGAATTACTGAGGGGAAATTGATGGAAGAAGTTGACAATCGTGAGAGGCGAGAAATTTTGCAGTACGAAAATGCTAAAAGGCTACCTCCCGATTTAACAAACGCAGGTGAAAATAAACGCAAGGCCACAACTATCACGATGAACGAAGATTATGGTTCAAATTCTCCACGAGAACGCTCGCCATTGTCGCGTAGGTCAGACAAAAATGGTCACACACAAAAAGCTGATTCTACTCTGCAGCTAAACGAAAAACTCAACATCACTCATTTTAACAGAAAAGACGAGGAGCCAGTGTGGAAGACATATCAGTGGTATCGAGACAGAAAAAGGCCTTATACTCAGCAAAGCAAACGACACAAAGCAGAGCAAACCATATTCATGCAGTACAACGAGATTCGCGATAAGAGGTGCCAAGAAGGCAAAGTTGTAAGCGATAGGAGGAGAGTTTCAGAGGCGCCTAAGGCTCTGCTGAACAGCTTCACTGAGGTCCCTATCGCATCTCCTTCAACGTTCAGTGATACTGCTGAGTATTCGAACTTCTCAAATCTGAACCACACCTCATCGGAATCGTCCAAAGCTAAGTGCGATCCAACGTTATTACACGGCGAGAAAGCACTTTGGAAAGGCAGTGAAAGAACTGATTTCCAAAAGAAAGACCACAAAGCTCTCCATCCCGACTTTATCAGAGGAGACGTGCAACGCGTTGATGGGGACGATAATTACAATAGCAATTTTGAGGTTCATGAAGAAACGGAGCGGGTGGCGTATTGTAAAAAAGTGGAATCACGAAATGATGTTGCAAGTCCACTAAATGACGACGACGTTTGCACAGCACTCGGTGATAAGGATTTGGGTGAAATTAGCAGTACGACCCACGAAAACGATACAAGAATTCTTCCTGAAACTTTCCGCCATTGTCCTCAAGATGTGGCTAAGATTCTGAGGCTTAACAGAATCGTAAATAACGTAAGACACAACCGAGACGGGCAACTTCCCGCAAGCGCTCGAAAAGAGCTTTTACTCGAAGGCCAGGAGAAGCGTCAGTCTAATGATTTCGACCGCCAAGATGTCAAACGAGCATCTGAGGACGAACAAAACCCGACGGAAAACGTTTTGTGTTCTCCGGAAGCAAATCCCCGTAAAGGACAAATAAAAGGCTTTGAAGTCAGACCAGACTATTCGGGCTTCAGTGATTCGGATCAAGAGACCTTTGTCGATGGGCAGGCGATTCTCGACGACGAAGATACCGTGTGTCAAGTGAACGGCCTTCTTTCTCTTCCTGGATTTAAAGAAACCAAGTACAACATCAGTTTGGGAGAGTTAAAACGCAGAATGAACCCGCCGGAGACCCTGACAAGGGTCGAAATGATTTCCTACCTCCGCCAAGCTAAGTCATCTGGGCGATTCTTACTGGATCGCCATAACATCGTGACCGCAAACCGCTCACATCCCACGATCCTTTCACGCTTGTGTGAAGGCGAGGCTCAGGTGCTGGCAGATGGCATTCTCAAAATGAATAGGGAGTATCTACCACTTGCCACGCTCGCGCGCAAGACAGTGGAGGCTTATAAGGATGACGGCTGCAGGGTGGTGAACTGCGAAGACTGCAGGCTTAAGCTAAGAAGACGAATTGTAGATGTTGAAATAACAAGGTAAGGTCTGAGATTATTTACTTGACCTGTTTAATCAGGTGATGAGATAGAGCATACATTCATTCAAAATATTTCGCCATTTCTGATTGGCTCCAGTCCCCCGGCCAATTTTTCATAACCAACTGGCGCTTACCATATTTGTCGAGATGGGAGCAAAATACCATCGATTCGATGGTGGCTGATTCAGCAAGAGCGAAGCCTTATAAGTAAAGGAATTGTCGGATATTACGATGATTATAGAATGGCTGAACAGGATTCTCCAGCACATTTAAACTGTACACAATATGGAGTCATAAGTTAAGCACAGATCAATATTCAGAAGTCAACAAATTTAAGCACTATAATTAGCAGATTTAAGTTCATTTGGTGTTTTGTTATCTGTTTTGTTTGGTTTTAATTGTTTCCTTTTTTGCAGAAACTCCCTAAAGGAGCTTCTCAAAGTCATAGAAGAGACTAAGAAGGAAGATGGATTCCAAACTTTTGAACACGCTTCTCACAATTTTGGGCTGCCGAACTTTCTCAATCATATATCTCTACTAGATGACTACTTCAAGCTGCTTTTATTGACGCTTCAAGATGTGTAGGGAGAACATTAACTCTACAAGCACGCGATCTATAGTAGCGTAGAAGGGCTGGCGCCTAAAACACAAGAGTTTTTGGTACCCTAGAATGTAGCTATTGAAACATGTTAACTTTTTTTTTTTCGCGTCTTGCTAGGAAGAGCCATTTATGGCTGAAAAGTGGTTAAAAAAGCGCGAGTGAGAGTCATACGCTACTAAAACAGAACTGTTGACTACTGTTTCTCCTTTGTTGCAGTGATGTTGATTGCACGAGGTTAACGATGTGTTCCCCAGGGCCATCTCAGGTTAACACGTCATCGGACTACTCTAGCTTCAACCGGTTTAAAATTCGTGTTAAGTTTTCCGTAAAAGCGGAACCGCGCTAAGCGTGTGAAAACTTTTTACTTAGTCGTTCAAAAACCTAACGCCAAACTCGAGATCAAAGCCGGTACGGTCGAAAATTTGACCGGCGCGGAGTGAACACCGTTATCGTCTAAATCTTTGTGTGGCAAAGGCGTAGTTGCATGGATGCGTCATTTTGCAATCTCGACCCCAGAGCTCTTCTGCGCATGACCGCCAGGGATGAAGAGCTCTGGGAAACCCTGGAGCAAGATTGTCTCTGGAGGGGTTTCAGCAAAAGACGATAAAAGTGTTTCTGATTGGTCCATCCAAGTTCGCACGACAGCGGGTGAACGTGCGGCGTATCTCGCGTGTGAGCGGGTGGAAGCACTGGGGTCGAGATTGCGCCATTTTGGATCTGCTAAAGTAACGCTCTGCGCATCGGCAGACAGTAAAACCACACACTGAAAAAAGTTGAAATTCAACCTCGTTCGTCAGTTTGGTGTGAACAGAGCGAAAATATTGAACGGTTCCAGGTGAACGAAGTGTCCGATCAAATTTTTTTCAGCCGGTCAGATAATTCGTCCGTTGCCGTGTGAATGATGGCTCAGTGCCACGAATAGCGGGAAGAGGAAACCGAGGGACACTTTTTCTTATTTCGTCTGCGTTTCGTTGGAATGGCAAGTTCAAATTACAAGAAAAGGAACAGAAGGAAGTAATTCCATGAACATGTGTCCCGAGATTGTTTGATGCGTTTGTTAAAGCGAAGCCAAACGCTCCACGGTTCAATTTCTTTGGCTATGCTAAAAAATATCGGATTGTTCTGAGTGAAATTGTAGCAAAGCTTGTTGGATAGAAAATTTTAGTAGGATACGGATATCAAATAAAAAAGTTTAAAGTTTTGAAGTCTAGACCGACTTCATATCCCCTAGGCATTTTCAAAACGGAAATGAGCCACAAGAAGTAATAAAATACCCACTTCATAAAGTTGCATAAACAGACGCATATATAAATTTGCTTGCCTGCGATACTGGAAGTATTAATTTTTATTCTAATTATGCTTTTATTGGAGTTAATTGTTAGTTCGTGATCTACTGAAACTTTCATTGAAAAGCCTACGCCTACTGTCCTAGTTGTTCGAGTGCTCGCTAGCGCTTTGCCAGGGTTCATTCTACCAACGACTGGGCTTACAACAATTCACGGTTTAAATCACCCCAAAACCAAACAAAAACTTAACACATGATGTAGTGAAATAGCGATAACGCCTTGGAAACCGGAATTTTATTTCCGAATTTATAGGATGAAGCAACTTATTTCAGTTATTCCTACCATTTTTAAATTCACTTGACACAATTCAACAAACTGTTGCATTTTTTAAGGAGCGCGATGTACACACTCCTTTTCCGGCTACAGTAAACGGCACATCCTTGTAGCACGCGACTCCAGCAGCGCTTGTTCGTAGGTGAGGTTTTACTTGCTCCCAGATCTACAAGAATAAAAAATGTTCATTGTACATTGTCACGTCATTGAAAAGTCCTCTAAAGCTGTAAATCAGATACATTTAGTAATGAAACCAATTTGCACTTCCGTTAGATTGCAGGACGATGCTTTCAAGCATAACTGGAAACCAGTTAGACTGTTCACAGTCCCCTTTTTTCCGTAAGATTGTCGAGATCGTGCACTCAACCGTCACTGGCAGCCATTTTGTAATTGGTTTTATTCCGAGGGGGCGGGGGTCGGGGTTTATGGTGGTGGGGGATATTTTTCTTGCCTCTCCCAAATAGTTTTCCGCCCCTTTAGTGGTCTTTGAGCTAACCTTGGTCAAGATGGCCGATTGTAGCGCTCGTTCTCAACGATCTTACGGAAAAATAGGAGACTGTGAATAGTCTAGCAAGTAGTGCGCATCAAGAGAAACCTGACTTCCGATTTTTAACGTGTTTTTAATATCAGGGAACAAGATTACCGACGATAAGCAAAGTACTGAAGCAATGCAAAAGGAAGGTAAATTTTCCTTCTTTTGATCCCAGATGTGCTCTAAATTGGCTTAAATTTCACCTTGCATAGTGATGCATGGGCGCGAACGCGATGCTAACCTCGTCCCCATGGCTTTTTTCTTAAAAAATGGGCCGGGTACGAGGTTGACGCAGGCGTCTTAAGAGGAACTCGTTTTTCATCCCTTCCCACAAGGAGGGATGAAAGACGAGCTCCCCTAAAAACGCCTGCGTGGGAGGCTACGATAATACAGACAGCAGCTAAATCCCAAGTAAAAATACATTACTGACGTTTGACTGAAATCAACTCCCACTATTACGGACACTCGCTAATGAGGACACTAACTCGAGGTCCCCACAGTGTCCGCTATAAAAATAGACCATAGCGGGAGTAAATTTCAGTCAAACATCTGTAATAAATTATTTTTGCCTGGCATTTAGCTGCTGTCTGTATTATCGGGGTGTCCGTTATAGCGAGGTGTCTACTAGGCTTGAGTTGCCTGTAGTGGTACAGTCAAGACTCTCTTAGACGGACACCTTTGGCACAGGGCACTAAGTGTCCGTCTTAGAGAGGTGTCCATCTTATAGAGAGTCAAATAAAAGGAGTAAAGAAAGGCAGGGACCAACTCTAGGTGTCCGTTTTACAGAGGTGTCCATCTTATAGAGGTGTCCGTTAAGAGAGAGTCGACTGTATTCACCTTTTTCTTGGGGTTTAGTTGTTTGTCAGGTTCTCCTGGAAATCCTTCAAATGTAACCCTGTCTCCAGGTACACAACCTGCTGGAGGATCAAGAACTTCAAATTTCGACCTGTCCTCATTAGCTGAACACATCACCATAGCTTGTGACATAATGCCTCGCATTCTAAGAGAAAAAAAAAAGGGAGAGAGAAAAATAAACGGCTACGTAAAATCAGTCCATTACAGCAGAATTAAAACTCGCTGGAATAGCCCTGAAACGGCCAAAAATGCCAAGAAAACGCCAAATATTTAGACAAGAACACAAGGTAAGAACTTCTGAAGTATTTTTATTACTATTTTTGACCCCATTAATAACGATTGCTTAAATCCCCATACAAACCCTAATGATATTTTCTGCTACGCAACAACATTTCTCACTCATGAGCTTGGGGTACCTGTGATCAGAAAGCATTCCGCTGACGCATTCCATTCATTCTTAGTGGAAGTACACACAAACGCTTGCTATGTGCCGTGCATGGATAGTAGCAACCTGGGCCCAGTTGTTCGAAGGCCGATTTAGCACTTAACCCAGGATTAAATTAAAACTCGCTGGAATCGCCCTGAAACGGCCAAAAATGCCAACAACATTTCTCACTCATGAGCTTGGGGTACCTGTGATCAGAAAGCGTTCCGCTGATGCAGTCCATTCATTCTTAGTGGAAGTACACACAAACACTTGCTATGTGCCGTGCATGGATAGTAGCAACCTGGGCCCAGCTGTTCGAAGGCCGATTTAGCACTTAACCCAGAATTAAATTTAACCAAGGTTTCTTTTGTTTAAAATCATTTTCTCGGATAATTTTAACTGCTATTTTTAAGAGCATCAAACCAGCTTTGGTGCCAGAGACTTTTCATGCACTGTTTTCAGTTCTGGTCTTTGGCCAAAGATCTGTCTGCCTACAGCTGACACCAAAGCATCCTGCAGCATGTGATAAAAAACTTATTTTAACCTAATTTTTATAATTTTGATCTGGTCAGATTGGTCAGAATCAATTCATTTTCACGATACAGAATGGTCTACAATACTTACCAATGAAAATAAATTACAGTAATTTATGCACAAGGTTTGGCACATGAAAATTAACGTTTGACGATTGAAACAAAGTCACTCCTAAGTCAAAATTCCCATGTGAGTCACTCAAACTTAATTCATGGGTGGATCCAAATTAGATATGCTGGACTTAAATGATTCAAAGGCCGATCTTTTCATGTACTTTATTGAAAGGATTAGGATTGGTACATGAACAGTTCAACATTTGATCTGGGCTTCATTTCTAAAAAGACCACACTTACTTGACTGGCTTGAGGTTACACATGACTATCACCATACGATCCTAAGTTTGGAGACAAAGAAATTGAAGTTAGTAAAAATGACACAAACCTCCGAGGTCACTGAGCAAATGATTACAGCATTTGTCTCAAGAAGTCAAGCATGAGTGGCATGCAAAAGTGAGGAGCAGGGACAGTATTATATACAGTAATAATTATTTCATTGGATGAGGTTTTTGTGATATTCAGAATAGTTGAGGTTAAGGTAACTGTTTTCATCTGAGCCAAAGGATGAGGCTGATAACACTTACCAAGATCTTGATTCTTCTGGATATCACAAAAAACAAATCTAATAATAATTGTTTAAAAAATATTAGACATTGTTTTTAAGAAAATAATGACAAACACCGCGGCAAGGAGCCGATTTGACATTGCTTTTGGAAATCATGCATGCAGCGCTCAACCTACAGATTAGTCAGTAATCTGCTAGCAGATAATTAACTAATCTGTAGGTTGAGCTGATTTTCAAAATCAACTGTAGGCTCTTAGCCAATGAGAAGACAAATGGTGAGTACAATGCATGATCATTAAAAATATCCTCTGCCCCTTGTGCAAAACACAGCTTGCTCATGCCTTCTATTGAGAGTTTGATTACACACTAATAGAGAAATGGCTGTACGGCTTGCACCTGAAGCTCTTCCAGTTGAACTGATCCAACAAGCCCACTGCAAACTGTTCTGGGTGTTTCCTCTCCAACATCAACTGTAGAGAAAAATAGTAATAAAAATAACATAAGTTACAATTAGGGACAAAAGAAAAAAAAACTTTAAGCTAGTACTCAGGTCTGAAATCAGAACAAGGAAAATGGAAATTCTGGACATATGACACTTATAATCAGGCTCTTAATTCAGTACACATGAGCTTACAAACAACTCCAAGACAAGGACACTGTATCACAGCGGTAGTCAAAATGGAAGGAAAATGTGTTTGGGAGGGTCTGTTCATTTAAGCAGAAACACCAATATTCTTTTAAGTAATGCCACAGCACACATTTTTTAAAAATATCTTACAGAAAGTGATTTGCTGACAACAATAAATAATTGTTGCTTACTTTCCTCCACAAAAAGTGTATCAGCATCTGGGTGTCTCTTGGCTGACAAAATTTTACCCACACGGAAGTCAATGTGATGAACATCAGGCTCTGTACTGCCAGGCTGTTCTGAATAAAATGGAATTTTCATACACTTAAAAATGCTATTGCTGTTGAACCCCACTTTACAGACACCCACTTAATATAGACACCTCACTATTCTGGACAGTTTGCTTTGTCCTGGAGGAAAGAGAGTCCTTCATTTTCTCCAGATTCAGCCTGCTTAATATGGACACTTTCTATGGCTCTTTTAGAGTCAGTATTAATGACGTTTGACTATATTATAGCTGAATAAATAGAATTTAGATTCTAAAACGAGTACGACTATGAGTAAGAGATTTTCTCAATACTAAGCAGTGCTCGCGCCTGAACCAGTGTCATTTTGGTGGGAAAACGTGATAGTCATCATCATCCTTCTACAAATTTTAGCGAGAATGTTGTGGTAGCAGAAAAATCAGTTTAGTAGTAGATGAAAGACCATATAAAAATAGGTAACTTGTAAATTTTCAGCAGTATCTCTCAAAAGCAGCGAATGCTGCGGTGGCCAAAATTCAATCACAAACTTGAAATTAACGCATAAAATGCTCTTTATGCCACCTCCCTCCCCCGATAACCATGACCCAAGCCCTTAATTAAAAATCAACTCCTACCACAGATATTTATTCTTACCTTCTTTACCAGCATTCTTGTCCTTTCCTTTTTTCTCTGCTTTTTCCTTTTTGGGTTTCTTCGCTGGTGGTTTCTCTTCTGGTTTTTCTGTGGGTTTAACTTCTGCTGGTTCAGCAGCTGCCATTTGCTCCATCATTTGAACCTCACAAGATGCTGCTTGCTTGGCATTTGGAAGTGCAACCTGTTTCACTAGAGAGATTAAGATTTAAATTAAACGGTAAATGGCAAACATCAGATTCAAGTTGAGAATTTCTCAGAATAGAAAATGAGCAGATAAAAACAGTCCAAAATTCTTCTTATGGAAAAAACTGGCATAAAACTACTTATTTTTGTGTAGAAGCAATAAAAAGTAAACAAAAAATAAGGGGAAAACTTGGTCACATGGTACAAATTCACATTTGCCATTTGGTGTAAACGTGAATCTTAATCTCTCTGTAATGTCCCCACAGATACAGTGTAAACACTTTTCACTCTCACAGTCAATATAATGAAGTGGAAAAAAGCCCTAGGTGACAGCTGATCTAATGTCACATTTTCTCTTTGTATCAAGAGCACAATATAAGAAAAACTGAAGGAGAATTTAGAAATTAATCAAAGGTCACTTAAAGGGCTTTGCCTTAGAAAACAGACGACATTTTGCGATGCCACCAATGGTTTCCCTGCGAATTGATGTCTGAGAAAGGAGCGTAGAAATTCTATACTGATGACGCGTCACTACCCAGATCTGGGTAGTGACGTGTCATCAGTATCAAATTTCTGTGCTCGCTTCTCAGATGTCAATTCGTGGGGAAACCGTTGGTGGCGTCACAAAATGTTGTCCGTTTTCTCAGGCTAGGTGGGCTTTACTCAAGGTAGCCCTTCATTATTGTAATTATTAACAATTAATAATAATTAATATCTGTATGTAGACTTAATCAAAATGCAGGTTGTAATAAAAATATTTCCAAATTTGTAAAGGATATCCTCTGGAGTAATCTTTCACAGATTTTTGTTTCCCATGTTTGATACTCATGATGACTTACATCCATTCCTAACTTCCCAGTACTCCAGCTCTGCTTTCAGTTTGTCAGCTTCTTGCTTCAGACGCTCATTCTCTTGTTTAAGAGCTGAAATGCGGTCCTAGGAGAAAACAAAACAATAAAAAGACAAACACTTAAGCTTTTATTTTAACCCATCAAAAATGCCTTTAGGGTATATCCAAACTTAGAAAGCTATAATTTGCTGAATGGGAACATTTAAGCTAGTGAAAAGTGGTTAATGGGTTATGGAGAAATTTATTACGAGCTACATAGGGTTGTCAAAAGTGGCTGGCTGCCGGCAAAAATCGCCGTCTAGTTGTTTAGAATCGGTCGGCTACTCTGCTTGGCATTTCTTTAGGGATGGCATTGTTTAAAATAAAATATCCCTGGACTGCAGGGCTTAAAGTTAGCGACTGACTATGCGCATATGCTACTAGATTTTTGGTTGTGCGCCTAAAAATTCATGTGTAATCGCACCTGTGCGCCATAAAACCCAAAGCACAGTGCGACTGACTTACTTTCGACTATACTTACGAACTCAAACTAGAAAGACGGTGTATGTTTAATTGGTCTTTTCTCCCAATGGATTCTACAAACTCTAATGTTCTTTTTCGTTTCGACGTTTTACTCCAACCAAGACTCTTCTGTTTTGTAATAAACGCCGCTGACACATGCAAATATATGCTACGAACGAAACACATACTTTTTGCGGTTACCTGCTAGTACAGCTTGCAAGTCAAAATTGCAGTTAGTTTTGTTTTTGTCACGCCTAATTCTCGGAAAAAAAGGTCCATTCTTTCAAAAAATTCAGATATCCCAGCTACATGTAAGTCATTGCGCATTTAACAAATTCATTAAAGATTAATTTTCATTCTTGTTCGACACACTCATTGTTGTCAGTTTTGAATTGTTTTTCAAGTGTAAGTTTTCTTTAGTCACAATTGTACTGTTAAAAAGAGAAATTAGTATTAAAAATCACAACAGTATTACTGCGTAGCAAATCGGCTGTGTTTTATCAATCACAGGACTAAAGTAAAAGTAATAAACAGAAGATGAAATAAACGTGGCACTGTTAAGCTTTTTACTTTTTCTTTTGAAATAGATGATCCCAACATTATAAGCTGTGCTCCTAAAATTTTCAGCTGTGCACCTAAAATTTCGGCAGTGCGCCTAAAAATTTACATCTGGTAGCACAAGTGCTCCCAAACTCAAATTTAAACTTTGAGCCCTGGACTGGCCGCTTACTTTAAAACTCTCTGACAACCTTGACTACAGGGTAGGTGAAATCCTCAGAGCTCTAGCCCAGCAGTGCTAGAGGAACATCTAGCCCTCAGGACAAGCTGATTTTCAGAATAAATTCCCATTTAAAATTATTAATATACTGACAAGTTATTTAATTACCACAGAAAGTTAAAAGTAAACAAACCTTAATGCCAGTTGGCTTTGATTTTCTTTCTAAATAATAAAGGAAAATAGAGCTTTTTAGTAAATAATACAGTCTTAAATAACTTGGCTAAAGCTACAATGTTCATGAACTGTCATTTTGAAAGACAGTTTTGTAGAATTTATGAACAACACTTAAAGCTGTGTCATTGTGTTCTTCAAAAGTTCCCTGACAGCTGTCTTACATAAATTTTGCTTTTTTAACTTATTGTTTATATTTCTTCCAGTTCAATTTTATCCTTGTTTTAAAATTTACTTTCCTTTGTTTTAAACTCATTATCATAGAATAATCCGACCCTAAAATCAAAGAAAAGTGAAATATAAACCAAGTATTAAGGTGGTACCAGAGGCTAATTTGGGCATTTTTTTGTAAATTTTAGTCGTGTGAAAACACTGGAAATATTTAATAACAGTAAATAAAATTTTTGGATGTAAATCACACATGTCTAGGGTTTTGAAATATTGCATCTTCTTTTGGATAACTATTAAGGAATTTGTGGAATTTATAATTTAGGGTGCGGTCAAAATAACCATTTTGGATAAAATTGCCTTTAAATTTAACAGGAATAAATAATATTCAAAATGAAAAGACACACGTAAACAAAACCATAAAAGAAAGATTTACAGCAAAGTGTGCAAAAAATATTGGACAGTGTTAGTGGAAACCAAAAATACCTGGTGTGAACGCAATACCTTGTCACTTCCAAATTACAAGGCAGACTGTGGCGCACTGCGCTGAAAATTTTCGTCATCTTGTCTAGATAACGCCTGCCAAGTTTAATATTTCACTTTTGAGTCAAGAGGGGGGCTAATGTTAAGGTGAGGCAAGGGAAGGGATACTTATTTGGAGGGGGGGGAGGGGCGCTAATTTGATCGTTTATGGTACACCAGATTGTACCTCTGCATATGATCTAAAAATTTCAGAGAGCCCTCCCCTCCGGTAAAATTTCCATACAGCCCCATACATAATTTATTATGCAGACATGTTTCCACTCTATTCATATCAAGTATTAATTTTTGTGTGAAATTGCTGCATAGGTAATAAATGTATGGGGTTATAAGAAAATCTTACCATATTCTTTAATCAACTCGAACTATTCAAAATTTTGACTACATCCCTGTTGTTGTTTTCTTCACAAACCTGCGGCTTTTTGGAGAAAGAGCAACTGAGACTTCAACAAAGAAATCGTCTCCTCTGCTTCAACCGCACGCTTTTCGAGCCTCTCGACAACGTCTCCCCCTGTAACCATGCTAACTCTCGTGCGAAATATCTTACGCAGAACACCGCTACTGCTGAACAGGATCCTGTTAATGTCACAAAATGTTAACCTACGACACCACATACAATATTTTGCACGCCAAGAAATCGCCAATGAGTTCCTTTCTGGATCGACTTGGAGATTTTTGTCAGCGGTAGCTTAAGGTATGTCATGTATCATACATTGGAATGTCTTTCAGGAATCCAGGAAAGAAACGCCTGGTGAAAATCGCCTTGCAAGCCGGATTTTGTTTTGTCGTAGGTTTTTAAGGGATTAATTGTGCTGATCATGTCCGATCTTCTGAAATTTATGTCACTGGTCGGAAAGCTCAAGTCTACCAAGCGTACAGGATGGGTCTATCGCGGTGTAAACTCTCCAGAGAGCGTATCCGACCACATGTATCGCATGGCGATAATGAGTTTTCTGCTGAGCGGACAAAACGAAGACGCTAAAATCAACCGCGATCATTGCATTAAACTTGCGCTAGTCCACGACATGGCTGAGTGCATCGTCGGCGATATCACACCATTCGATGGAGTCAGTAAAGAAGAGAAACACAAGCGTGAAAAAGAAACGATGGAGTATTTATCAGGCTTGGTCGGAGAAGAAGTAGGGAAAGAATTTCTTTCGTTGTGGCAAGAGTACGAAGCACAGGAGACCCAAGAAGCAAAGTTTGTAAAGGATCTGGATAGGTTTGAAATGATCCTACAGGCGCATGAGTACGAAGTAAGCGAGGAAAAGTCTGGAACAGGCTGGTTACAAGAATTCTTTGACTTCACGAAGGATAAATTTCAACATCCAGTAGTGAAGGACTGGGTTGAACAGCTAAATAAGTTACGGGATCAGAAAAAGAATTAGTGCAATGTTAATGTGAAATTTATGTGCCCTAATTAAAATTCCTACACAGCTGGAGTTATGGTGTGTTCCAAATTGATGAGCAATAAAGGGGGGAATTTCATATATCCCATGATGCTTCGCGCCAGCCTCGTTCCCAGTCGTCCTCGGCGATTTCGGATGTGACGTCACCTGTCAAGCTTGTTGGGGAAATTCGCCTAGGACGCCTGGCAAATAATGGCAAATCCAAAATGGCGGCGCCAAGAATGCGACTTCAGTCAAGATTCTTGAAGAAATGAAAAAAAGCGTCGGAAATAGGTTGGGATTCTTTAATCAACGTTTGCCATCAAATACCTAGAGATGATGGAGAATTTTCTTTTAAGGAATCGTTCCGCGTGTACACCTGTTCT